CATCAGGCCCTGTGCTGACAGCTAACAGCCTGGAGCCTGCTTCAGATTCTGTCTTCATCTCTCTCTGCCCCTTCCCCATTTGTGCTCTGTCTCTCAAATAAATAAATGTTTAAAAAAAAAGTAATAAAAAAATAAAAATGAATTCACTTTATTAATTTCATTTAATTTTTGCTGTATTGTAAAAGGAAATTTCTGTATGGACTGTTCTATTAATAAAGGTTTTTTTTTTTTTTAAGTATGTTCTTCACTTATAATTGTCAATATGTAAACATAAACATGATATTTACAGTCCTTGCCTAGAATATTTAAATTATGCAGTTATTATTCCTCTTAATAGTAAAAAGTTAACACTATTCAAACAAAGAAAATTTCACATTATTCCAAATTCCCATTGATTTCCAAGTAAATAAAACTACTTAGCAATTCAAATTATTTTAAAATTTATCAGGTTTGGTTGATATATGAGGATGGGAAGAAAGATAATATAAGCTGTGGGATTTCAGACTCTAATATAGGTAATATTTATAAAATTAAAGCAATTATTTCATCAATGTGGGACAGAAAATTCTTTCACCTCTGCAAAAAATCAATCTAAGCTGAAGAAACAAAACAAGACAACGAAAACAGAAGAACAGACATGTCCAAAGTTGTTAATTTCCTTATGAATATAATTTAAAATAGTATTTTTCATATGGGCTTCTGGAGTCAACCCTAATCTGGTTTTAATCACTTTTAAGCTATTAATTGTTTATCTCACTCTATTCACAGAGTATTTTAATGAAATGATCATGGTGCCGACCATATTTTTTCCATTATCTTAACTGAAAAAAGATATTTTCTGATTACTCAAATAATACAATGTCATTTCAAAGCTTCTGTCCATTCAGATGTCACAATTATCAGTATTTTTACTGGTTTAAAACCAGCATGTATAGTTTAAAAACTTTGAATGAAATTATAGATTCTCAAAAGTTACATTTCATAGATCACATATTCTAATTCATGTGATGATGATCTATTTTTTTTAAGTTAAGGATAAAAGTATTTAATAAAAAGTAAAATAGAGAAATAATTCATTTACATTTGTTGTCTTTAAGCGTCCACATACTTCTATAAAACAAGAGGGATGTATTTAGTAAGAATTAAAACATTAACTGGCTAATGTTAAACTTAATTTAGGTTGTGGTTCTTAAAACAACTTAATAGACCAAGGATTTAACTGTTATCCTATTGGGTAAGGATACTATTTAAAATAACTATAACTCTGGATTATATTGTCCAAAATAAAAACACAAAATGCCCTACAGTGATACTCCTCCATGTCTTAAACCAAACCCAAATCCCAAATACCTCTTGCAAAGCACAAGACACACACACACACACACACACACACACACACACACACACACACACACAAAGTCAGAAAGATACATTCATTATAATTTTCCAAAGCAGACCACTGATATTTTGTCACTAGTCTACAATGGTTATAACTGGTTAAAGATTGATTTACTGGTTAAATGCTCCTAATCATTCTAACATTATGCTGACTATACATAAATTCTTACCTTACTTCCTTTGGCTCTGCTCATTATCTTAGCATCCACAGAGCTATTTAGAATCAAACATCAAATCAGGAAACAACAAAAAATGCACAAACTCGAAAATGTACGTTCAGTGGAGGATTACCTGTTCAGTGATCCTCATGTGGAAGTCGTGAAAGTCGCTGTAACGGCGATAGGTTTTCCACATCTCCTCGCTGTTAAGACCACGCCGGTGAACAGTGATGGCGTATAACGCATACGTCTTGCCATGATCATTACAAACGCCTGCCACAGCATATGGGTCATAGTCAGCATATACTAGTCATTTCAAACAAAATGAAGAGGAGCAAAACACACACAGAAGAGGAAGATGAAGAACAAAAACAAACAAAAGAACATGAAGTGAAGAAGAATTTGAAATGACAGACTGAGACAAAAGGATGTCACCAAAGGATAAAAGACTCCCATCCTCTGGACTCACATTCACATTATAAGTTTATGATGACACTACTAGCCACACAGTGATACCTACCTACTTCGACTCACTTCCTCAAGAGCTTGTACCCATTCTTAGTATGACACCACACTACCGCCTCATAATGTAACATTATTCTCTACATATTTAATTAAAAGAAAAGTAACAGAAATAAAATAACAACCTTTGATACTAGCTTTCACTATTCAATTGTATTTCAATTAATATCTCTCCCACCAAACAGAAAGCAAAAGCCAAGAACTACAATTCATGCACTTCTGGCAAGTCTCTTTACAATTATCAAAAATTTATAAATGTAGTTCATTCTGGAGATTTTTTTTTTTTAAAGACATTTTCCTGCACAGCATCCTAGTGAGGTAAACTCAAAACCTGTTCCGATTTTGTACTAAACTTAAGACATTTGTTGTGAAACATTTTCTCTAATTTTCTTTCCTATTTTCCAGTTTCTTTCCTCTTTCTAGTGTTGTATTCTAGATCGTTTCTTCAGGTCTCTACAAGTTTTGAGTCTCTAGTCATCTATATCTGGTCTAATTCTTAATCCATCCACTGACCTCAGTTTCAATTACAGTATTTTTTTCTATGATTTTATTTTGGTTCTTTTGACAAAGTGTTGCATTCTTGCCTTAGCTTTTATCTCTACAAGTGTTTTTAATATCCTCTCAGGCTAGGAGACCCTGTGGTACACAATCACTTGAGGATGGCTATATCTAGACACACCCACGCTGGGAATCAAGATGGGCTTTCAATTTCTTGTGGGTACCATTTCCAGACATGATCTTGGCATTCTTTGTTTTATTCTCTTGACACCAGGCTACGTTTTTCTAGTTCCTCGTTCCTATTAAGCCACCCTTGGTTACTCTGGGCTTCATGTGAAGTACTGGGTTCCAGCTTACTATGGCCTTAGCTCATCCTGCCACTTCTAAATTTGAGGGACATGAAAATGCTCTCAAAAATAAAAATAGCAGGGGTGCCCGAGTGGCTCAGTTTCAGCTCAGGTCATGATCCCAGAGTCGTGAAATTGAGCCCCACATGGGGCTCCATGCTAAGTACAGAGCCTGCTTAGACTCTCTCTCTCTATTTCTCTCTCTCTCTCTCCCTTTGCCCTTCTCCCCTACTCGCTCACTCTCTAAAATTTTTTTTTTTGATTAAAATAAAAAAAATTAAAATAAAGATAGCAATGTTTATGCTCCTGTGAGCTCCCTGGCTTCAACTCCACTTTGCTTTCCTAAATTTATTTTTCTTCATGGCCTATGGCACCTGTACATTTCTCCCTGTAGCTATTTTTATTTTACTGTTTTCAGCCTTTCTATGTGTGGAAGGCAGGATTTCCAATAGCACTTTAGACTACCATTTGGCCTACAAGTATAAATTGCTCTTCTAATAATAGATTACATTAATCCATAATTGTGAGGGGAAATAGTGGCTGACTAAATATTGTGTATTTTGTATATAATTAGGCCAAGAAGGGTTTGCATAGCATCTTACTAAATTATTTTAATAGCATGAACGCTAAAAATCTAAACTGACAAATGCAGTTTGGACAGAAACCTCTTTTAGGCTTTCATCAACATTTTTCTAAGATTTGCTCTGTCTACTCAGAATTGTCCTTTGTTCCCTTTTTATCTAATATCAATTTCCTGATTTGTCAAAATATCACATTAGGGATAGACTTTGGTTGCTTCACTCTCTGAGACTTTAGCTCTATGGAACATTATTTATTATTGACTGTTCACTTCTTCCAATGATCCTTCTCACAGAGACCTGTGCAGAACAAACTGCACCGAACTTTTTCATCCTGTTATAGAACCAGCACCACTCAACAGAGTTAGCACGGCAATGAGGGAACAGTTTTATCTGTTGTGTTCAAGAGAGGTTTGGTGAAAGAAAACAGAAAGCAGAAGCCTATTAGGCAACAAATCATAACCAACTAGAAGTTAACAAGAGCAAGAAGACTAGGATGGAATAGAAAAGAAACAAAGGGAAGAATGTTAAGAAAGCATTCTAAAAAAGATTTCTCACAAATTGACAGGCAGAGGAGCTCATGACTCGGGTGCATGAACAATAGGAAGAATAGGTTGTGCAGAAGACAAAAAGGTAATTTGATTTTAAAAACAGATAATGAGGCTGCATATATTTATTATAAGATGACGGTGAGATATTACAGTGGAAATAGGTTTTGCTTTCATTAAGACAATGTTACTTATGGCAGGTGATGTACAAGCTATTTGTCACTAATCCAGAATGAGATAAGGAACTAGACCAGAATGTAAATCAAGCTCTCATCACTAAGTACATTGCTTAATTTAGCTAGTAGATTTTAAAGATTTCACAAAGAGAAGTGTTCAGTAGCCCATGGATCACTCCTTGAGAAGCACTTCACTAGAATCTACGTTCTACTTCCTGTAATAAGATGTTAAAAACATAAAATCTAGACTCAGAGACTATGAAGTCTAACTGGTAAAATATTTATTGAACAAACACTAATATATAATGGCTACTCATGTAATTACTAATGTAATTAATTAGTCTCATAACAGCTCTGTGAGGTACACATTATTATTGATCCATTTTATGGATCACAGAAGTTAAGGAACTTGCCAAGTTCACCCAACCATTAGGTGGCAGAGCTGGGACTTGAACCCACACAAATGGGAAAAAAGTTATGCTCTTAACAACTATATTATGTTGCCTCTTTAGTATTCATACTTAAGTTTGTCTGACAGAAATAACAATTTATTAAAAATGCTTTTAGTGCTTCCATACATTTTAAGAAGCTAATAAATACTTTTAAATAAATGGATAAAGGAGCTAGAAAATCAGAATGTTTAGGGGCGCCTGGGTGGCACAGTCGTGTTGGGTTATCCTGACTCAGCCAGGTCACCATCTTGGCTGTCCAGGTTCATGGGGCTCTGGGCTGATGGCTCAGTGCCTGTTCCTATCTCTAGTCTCCTCTCCTCTGCCCCTCCGCTCATGCCTGTCTCTCTCCCCCCCCCAAAAAAAAAAAAAAAAAAAAAAAAACGTTAAAAAAAAAGAAAATCAGAATGTTTAGAGAAAAGAAAGATCTACAAAAGAAACATGAACATGAGTATCTTTCTTGAGACATAAAGTATAAGGTCCTCAAGAAAGAAATAAGGACAAATACTGAATATTCGCAGTTTGGAAATATCTTCCCATTTGGAAGACAAACCAACAAAGAAAAGAGAGACTTTTAAAAAGAATTTTACATTTCAGGAAGCAAAATTGAAACAACAGTGAAACAACTATAACAAAAGCTAGAAGGAAAAGCAACAAAACTTCTGGTTTTATTGACAAAGGTGTCATCCAATGACCCTCAAGAGCAGGTAGTGTATGCACCAACTAACTGTAAAGGATAAAAGAACAACTTAGACAGCAATTATAAATAACTTATTTCAGAAATATGGCAGGTAACACAGTGCAAAATGAGATTCTAGCTCCAGTGAGAAGCAAAAGAAAACAGAGATCTTAAAAAAAAAAAAAAAAAAAAAAAAAAAAAAAAAAAAAAAAAAAAAAAAAAAAAAAAAAAAGATGCAAATTATCTTTTAAACTGCATTGGCACTGTAAGATCTCTTTTTAATACCTAAAACGTAAGCATGAAATTGAACTGAGATACCTCAATATGGTAATATTTCAAATGTAATCTGACAGACATAATCCTGTAATCTAGGAATAGTGAGAGGCTGGACAAGTAAACCACCATTATCTACTCATTAGCATTATCTAATAACCCAGTGGCAATGATGTAAATTGATTTTTTTCCTCAGTTCACTAACCATTTTACATGTATGCTGACTGAGTCACAAAATTTTAGAGGTTTCTCACCTTATCCAAGCATTTCCTAAACTTCCGTAAGCTCCTATACCAAAGTTTCATTAACCCAGTTATCTAGTCTGACTCTGCATTATGAAAAAGATTGAGCTAAAATCTACCCCAAGTGATTTCTTAAGAATTCTGCAGACAGTTATCAGCTAGACACAAACAAGAGGAAAAGACTGGGTTTCAAGTTTATTAGCTATGACAAAATGCTTAGAATTTAAGCTTTTCCAAGTGTTAACAGTAACAACCTTAGAGAAGGAAGATATACAAGTATATTCTAACATACATATAAGGTATCATCAAACATGATACAAAGTATATATCAAACCATATACACAATAAACATTTTAGAAGTTAACAAAAAACAATGCAGAAAAACATGTAACTTAAAAATACAACTATAGAACAGAAAAATGGTTTGTAAAAATATATGTGGAAAATAATCCAGGTGTAATAATAATCAATAATTTTTACGCAATAATTATACCACAAAGTCTCTTACCAGTGTCTGAAATGTAAGCATGAAGTTGTACTGAGTCATCAGAAGATACATTTGAAAGGTCATCTAACGACTTGGAAAAAAAAAAATAAAAAAATACATACATGTTTAATTTTATAGGAAAAAAAGTGTTAAAGCATTTTATGTCACATATGCCTTACCCATCTTTGCCCCATGTAAACTTTATATTATTTGTATCCATCCCCCAACAATAATCCTCTCTATTTATACGAACAGGATAGAGAAAATCCACAATTAAAAAAACTATAAAACAAAGAAATTCAGAAATCACTTAGTACATCAGATTATTTCTTCCTTCATTGCTTATCCGCACTTGCTACTTCTTGATTATATTCAATACATGGCAAGAAAAAAATATGGAAAAAATCAGTAGACATATTCTTAACATTTCAATTTTTTAAAATGTACTAGAACCAATTCCTTATTATTTAGCATTTTTATTAATTTAGAAATAATTTTAGATTCCTTATCTAACATGAGAATAATAGTACCTACACACTGGTTACATAAGGATTAAATAAGAAGACATGTAAAACATTTAGTAAGACGGCCTAACACAAAAAGTTATCTATTATTGTGATCTGTATGAAGTGAATCCAGACTCTAAGACAGATTTCAAATAATTCTGAAAAATAATTGCACAAAAATCATTACTGAGTGATTCAAAATGAATCTTTTTTAACTATGGCCTTTGGGTTTAAATTTAAAACTTTTTTGCCTCAGATACATACACCCACACATACCTAGAAGGGAACATAATCACATCATGATAGACTGCAGGAAAGAGTTACCTTGAGCCAATTATATTTATTGTAATAATAATAATAATAATAATAACACCATATTATGTACTTGAAATCACTGAAGGTAAATCTTGTATGTTAATATAAAAATGGTAACTATGTGATGTGATAGAGGGGTTAGCTAACCTTATGGTAGTAACCATTATGTAATTATCAAATCAATTATGTTGTACGTATTCAACTTATATAATGTTTTATGTCAGTTATAACTCAGTAAAGCTGGAGAAAAATAAACAGCAACAAAAAAGAATTAACTTGAAATTGCTCTCCTCAGAAAGGACTGCTTACAAGCCTGGCCCTTGGATGACAATTGGTGGGAAGGTTCCCACCATTGCCTAACTGCTAAAAGTCATTCATTGTACCTAACCTGTTTGTATAAACAATGTGGTTTATGTTGAACACCCGCTTTCCTTTTGGGAGTCTTGAATTTTAGTATACACTAACCAGAAGTTTGCCTATGTGACCGGCCTCCAATGAAAACCTTGGTCACTTAGTCTCAGATGGGCTTTCTTAGTACAAGCATTTCATATGTGTTGTCACTTTCACTGCTGGGAGAATTAAGTATGTCCCATGAGATTTCCATGGGAGAGGATTCTTGGAAACTTGTATCTGGTTTCCTCTGGACTTTGTCCCATGAGCCTTTTCCTTTTGCTGATTTTGCTTTATATCCTTTGTCTATAATAAATCCTATATATAAGCATGACTATGCTGAGCCCTGTGAGTCCTCTTAGTAATCACTGAACATTAAAATGGTCTTGGGGACTTCTTGACACACAGACATTATATGGTTCAGAGATCTTACACTTTAAAAACCACAGTATCTGAATGAACTCTGAAGTCTTAACATGATATTACCAATACTACAAAGAGTCAGTTAAATGACTTAAATGCAGCCATACATGTGACACAAAGCCATTTAAATTAAGGCAATTGCATTCTAAGGAGAAAGCCAAAATTTATCTACTGAAGACTGATTAAGAGAAGCAAAATATGATAATTCCATACAAATAATCCACAGTATTCCCCTGGTCAAGTCAAGAAGGCGAATCATTTAGTTAAAATGGGGCTTCTCCAGTGATACCCTAAGAGACTTTATTTTTTTTGTTTTTTTATTTATTTATTTTTTTACCCTAAGAGACTTTAGCCAAATCAACTGTTCTTTCTTGTACCTCAGTTTTCCCAATGATGTAATGCATAATACTTGCTCTACAACTTTGTCAGTTTATAACGTAAATTATAATGCTTTGAAAAGAAAAAAAGAATCCACTTACTTAAGTGGTCATATGACCTATAGTCAAATATCTTGTTAGAAATAGAACCTTTGTTTTAATATTACTTTTATATGAAAAAGCTTCAAAGAAAATAGAATTTTCTACAAAATTCAGATTGTTATCTACTATGATCTTCCAATTACAAACTATCACAGAGAATATATAACAATTGTTTTCAAAAGTATTATTGTTGTTAATTACTATCATTATTATTATGATTAACCTTTCCTTGTAGGTAACATTTCAACAGCTAAATGCTACTTACTTTAAACATGTTAGCATCTTATACTATGCAACCCAGAAGTTGTTAGAGAACTTTGTACATAAATGTCTTTTTAGTACACCTAAAATATACAATTAATAAGTATTATTTTCATTAAATATGATGAAATAATCTAATGAAACATCTCTTAAACACTAGTCACAGGTATAATGCAAATGTAAATATCAAGGAGACTATATAAAATTACAAGTGGTGAAATAATATTAATTACAGTCTGATTTAGAATTATAAGTAATAAAAGAAAACTGTGATCAAAACAAGTACACTAATGCTGCCCTGAAATAAAACATAGTTTTTGTTCAGTGATCCTTGGGTTAAGACTCTTGAATCTTTGGCAAAAAAATAAGAAGATCCTTTTTTAAACTACTATGCTAAGTCAAAAACTGAAAATTCAGATTTACTATGATAACCCATACAACTATGATGTCCCTGCTAGAAATGTTTACAATTCATATGCCAATCTCAATTGAAAAATGAGTAAATCAATACAAATAAATATTTTCTTTGCTTATTATATGGGAAAAAACTATTATGACCTATTTTACAAACTTCAAGCTATTTTTAAAATGGAGCTATCTGCTAACATTTATCTATATATTGGGATTCCTGAGTGGTGCAGTCAGTTGAGCCTCTGACTCTTGACTTTGGGTCCTGGGATCAGGCTCCCTGCTGATCATGGAGCCTGCCTAAGATATTCTCTCTCTCTCTCTTTCTCTGTCTTCCCTGCTTTCCTTCTCCCTCTCCTCAACTCACACACACTCTCTTCCTAAAAAAAATAGTAATTTAAAAAAATTGTCCATATATTTAAAAAGAATCCAAAAGACTCCACCTACTTAAAAGCTCAAATTTAATAAAATTAAGTGAATAACAAAATACATCAAGTCATCAATCTCAAGTGTGACCTTTGTCAATCAAGATAGTGTTCTGGTTTCTATCACTATGTGATAAAGAAACTGTTATTTGAAAAAGCATTTATTCCAAATATTGAATAAAGGAAACAAGTATTTGTTACTAGTGTTCACACATTTATACAAACACTACAAATATGAATACCTGAAATTTCAAATGAAGGAAAAGTTTCATTGCATTTAGGCATTTTTTCTATATAATGAACATTATTACTTATACTTTCTTCATGCTCTAGGAGTTATTCCTTCTTGTTATAAGGCTATGGAGTACAACAAAAAAATGGCAGTGATACCAAATGACTTAGGAAAATATTCTAAATGTTACACCACCTCTGATATAACACTATAGCTGACTGCCTTGATATTTTGTTAAAGGTTATGTAATTTATAGAGTAATAAAACACTCAATATGGTCATTTTTGAAATAAATGTAGTAATACAGAAGACAACGTAAGATAATGGACCTCTAGACCATTTAGCTATTAAAAAACGTATGAAAGTAGTGTAGCTAGAATGAAAAACAAAGGAAACAATCTCTCCCTAACCCCCCCCATAAACTTTGCACTGAAACTTTCATAGAAGATAATATTTCTTCCTAGCAACATTTTATGAAGTAAGTTATTCATGCCAAGGATGGATATATAAAAGAACTGAAATGTTCATTATTTCACACTTTACTATGAATGTATAAAATGCCAATGACAGCTTATATGTTAAAAATATGTCATTCTTAAACCTGTAATCATAAGATAAAGTTGCTTAATTTACTATAAGGCTTTAAGCTTTTTTTTATATATATACAAAAACCTGAATTTGTTACAGTGTACACTATAAGAAATATCTGGAATTTTTCAGATATCCTAATTTTACATTTCTCTTCTACACACAAAAAGAGCAAATTTCAATGTACACATTTATATGTCACAAGTTTACTATTCAAAACACCACTATTCAAAGTCACTTCAAAATACTAAATATTGGGAATGAAAATATGAAATCAATTTTTATCAAATACAACTGAATTATGCAGGTGTGACTTATGCACACTCTTATAAGTGAAAATAAATAAATTTCAGAGGCTCTTATATGTGAATTTAACATTTCTTTTAAAGCAAGTAACTTCTTAAAATATTAAAGCATGATCTGAGAGCTTCTAATATATCATTTATGTATGTATGTTATGGCTCACCTTTTATAATATTTTCAAGCCACTTTAATAATTAAGGCACCCTAAGAGTACTTACCAAATTTATGCTTCCTGTAGGAGACCCATTAAAAGATTCTGTGGAAGGGGAAATTCAACTTAGTATACATTAATAACATTTTGGAAAGAGTTGTTTTATCTAAGGTTAAAACGCTAAGAATGAAAGTCACCAAAGCAAAGACTTATTAACAAAAGAGCACAGAAAACTGTGGTACGGCACTCCCAAACACCTGTTTCCTTAAGCCTCATGGTTTTCCAAGCCAGGTATTTCAGTGAAGATATTTATGTACCTAAGTTGCCCCATCTAAAACATACACCAAAAAAAGGTGTTCATGTACAGGAAAACAATTATTAAGTATTTTATTTTCCCATTATCATATGAAGTTGTCTGATACAGTGTAAATATGAGGAAAACACTGCAGAGTGAAGTCCATTAAGAAAGGTCTCAAGTATTTTGTTAGTTTTTACTGGATTAAGACGTATTACAAATAAAACTTCTCTTTCCTGTGAAGAATAAATAGATTATTAATATAGCTATTATTTCCACTTATTCTTGGTAGATTTGGCTCTAAAACATTGCAACCCTAGGTTCCTAAATATCTCACTAATAAAACAAGATATATAAAACTTCATATACAATGCCATTTAATTAAAAAGCAACTAAAATTATTTTTAAACAGTAATGTTAGAGAGCTAAGTCAATTATACATTATTAAAATTAATGTCTTTTCCCTCAGTTTTTTATTCTATATCTGAACACGCGAAGTTATCCATTAAGATGCACCTCTGTTAAAAATACAAATTAATGTATGGTAAAGTAAAATTCATATACAGTTTTAAGTTAAGGTATGGTTTCTAGCACTTAAGAGATTATGAATAAAAGCTACAAGTGAATTTACAAGACTTTGGAAAAGTTCTTACACTATAGGATCAAAAACTACTCCCACAGAATATATTGCTACTATCGCCATTTTAAATTATATATCATTTAGAAGCTCATACAATTAGCTGATTATGATTCAACATATCTTCTTTCATTCTGGGTCATATAGCAAATCCACTTCACAAAACTAAGAAATTTCTAAAGTAGATGGAATTAAAATAGACAAAAAAAATTCTAATAGTCCTTTCTGGAAACCGCGCTGCTACTTGCAAATTCACGGCAGCTTTGTAAAAGATTTTTCAACAGAGAAGTAAGTACAGATAAACTAAACTTGAGGTTAGCTCCTACAGAAGTACTCTTCAAAAAAAAAAAAAAAAAACAAAGGTTCCTTAATTATGCAATCAAATCCAGTTAATGGAATATTATTCCAGTTTTAGAAATAAAACCAGAAAGAGAATTAACTAAAACTCCCACAATACTAGACCAACAACCAATATAAAAGTTAACAAAACTCAAACGCAAACTTCACTAACTGGTTTTCTTAGATTATTGAAAAAGTAATATCTTATTAATGTAGACCAGGGAGTGGGGAAGGGGAGACAGAGAAGGGAGGCTAAGAACCTTTTATAATGGAGACACTTTTTAAAGCAGTGCTTACTACCTAAGAGATCTATTGTATCTCTAACCCCAGTGGTCCAGCCCTTAAAACCTATTCATAAGTAAATGATTAAAATTAAAGCATTCTCTTAAAATAATTACTTTGTCAAATCTTTCCCATTTACTTTTTATTTTCATTGCTTATATAGACAAGCAATGTCTATTTCAAACCTTATTGAAATAAATCAAACCTTATATATTTAATTAGTTTAATAAGTACTAATGAATTGGATCGCAAGTAAAATGGCCACTGGGCCTCACAATATGGAGACTTGTGCTCTAAGGGCTGCCTCTCCCACTATTTTTAAATAACAGCTTATGTACTACTGATAAAAACTGGTATTTGTGTTTTAGTCTATAAATCATTCTCATATACATAATTTCCCTTAAATCCGACAAATGATATCAAAATAACTGAAGATACGGCAAAAATTTTATCCTAGATTTACAACTAAGAAAAATGAGGCTTAAAGAAATTAAGTATTTGGCCAACATCACAGAGGCACTAAGTAGCAGAACAGGAGTAAAATCTAAATATTCTGATTCTCAAAATCTGCTTTCCCCATTATGCCACAGTGGTAATAGCCTCATCTGAAAAAATTCAATGTTGAAACAAATGACTTTTGTAGCTTCTTCCAGCTTATACTGTGCAGGGTATAATTAAAGGGAAAAAAACTGTTTTTTTAAAACAATGCTCTTTGGATTATGGTACACTCTCAGGATCACTACTTGTTATCTCATTTAATCCTCTCAATAATCCTGTTAATCATGAATACTATTAGTTATTAGCAAAAGGGAAACTATCATAAAAAATATTTGGGTGATACAATTCAAGAAAACATTCTTTAAGACTCCAAGGCTTTTATAGCTATGTTCTAAACTGTTATTAAATTTTCAACATTTTGATTTAGTGAGGTAACTAAACTTTGTCATTCATTTATAGAATTTTAAATATAATTTATAATTGGGCTTCAAGGTATTTTTTATCTTGTTTTAAAGATCATGTTTTGGCAACAGAATATATGTAGGAATACGTTATGTGTACACACACACACACACACACACACACACACACACACACATGTGCAATGTGTGTCACCTTACCTCCATCACCATCATCTGATCCTCTGAAACTAGGATCTTTTAACATATCCAGCTCGGCTAACATGCGCACATAAAGTGCATTCTGTCTGAAGGAAGGATAAAATCTTTCATCTCGTAGCATCAATTCATAAACCTTATTGAAATAAATTAAAATATTCGACCATTAATACAGATAATATACTAATTTTCACTAATAAGATTTCACCAAAAGCTAGACAGAGGTCTTGCTATAAAGAATCACAGATTCCGTATTTATAAGATATCAGCAATAAGCCTATATCACAAATAATGATTTCTCAACTAATTTCACAACTAATGGACCCTCCAATACCTAAACTGCATTGAAAATGGTCCTACAGCAACACAAGTCACATGACAGGTTATATACAGTGTTCTAGGAAGTACTATATTCTAAGAAACAAGCCCACATAAAGGCTCCAGGATCACAGTAAAATACATTACCTCAGGTTACTGACATATCATCAACTCATGAAAGTCTAAGACTATATATCTGGCCCTTTAGATTTAAATACCAACCCAACATAAGGATTTTCCTCACTTGTCAATTAAATGAACAAACTGGCCTATCGTTTTTGTAACTGAGAAATCTGGGTTCCATTACTCACCTTTTTAGTTATTTATACTTTTATGTTTCAATAACCTTTGAAAAACTGAATTACATGTACAAAGAAATACATATTTTTCATAAGAACGAATGATAAATTCAACATATACCTTCCTTTGAATGTCATCAAAGATTTCAGGGGTTGGATCTTCATGATTCAAAGTATCTGCTAATTTTGCTACCAAATAATCATCAACAGTAACTCTTGGAGATGCCTAACAAACAGAGAAAAATAATAGTAGTAATGACATTTTGCGTTTCTAAATACAAGTTTATTCTTTATAAAAGAATTACATAGTGGAATTATATTATTGAAAGTAATTGGCAAAAAATCTTTGGTTTGTAAACAACACTGTGATGTTTAATAAGGCTGAAATAAGAACCAAACCTTCTTGTCATAATGTAACACAGAATGGGAGACAAACATGGATTTAAATCCTGGCATTTGCTGAGTAAGTTCCCTCTCAATAGGCTTAATTTCCACAATATGCAAAATGGATATAATACCACCTACGATTATTATGTAACCATGAGAGATTTATCTAAGGCATACAATCCCAGTGTGTAGCACATAAGAAACACTGTCATTAGGAATTAGTGCTTAACATCCAGTAGCCCTGGATGTCTATTTAATGACTGCCAAAACAATAAGCCATTTTTTACTTGTCATTTAACACTAGAAATAGTCCTTTTAAGTTGCCTTTAAAAGAGACTATGCTTTTCCTAAATTTGGCTTTATATCGCTGTAGCAAAATCCCAGTGTGATATGGGAGGGCAAAAATATGAAAAGTTAATTTCTTCCAACGACTTTCATTTTAAAGTGCCTAATATGACAGATACACCACAGAAATATAAAATCTGATGTTCAATGTGAAAAATTTCTTTAAAGAAAGAAAAAAATGCTGAAAAACTAGAAATATGGTCTTCTTTGGCATGTCAACTTGAATTTTTAGTTCTGAAGCCTCTGGAGAATAAATGAGTGATAAGGATGTTAACTTTTAAAAAACTAGAACAAGAATGCATTGTTCAAATAATTTCTTTATACTATCCAACAGAATTATCTAAAGAAAAGAATAGATAAATACAGAAAAAGAGAAAGGTTTACAAATAAGTAAACAACAGAGTATAAATGTATAGGAAAAGGACTATACGACTTCTAGTGTTCCCTTGTTAATTCAACATTATAATTAGTAAACCCAAGTAGGTGGTGCACGGTGGTTGGAGCTTTTTGGAGGAGGAAGGGGAGGGTGCTTATTTGTTGACTGTGTATGAGAGGATGTGGTGTGATGGTGTGTGTATGTTTTCCCCTGAAACAACAAAAAAACTAAACAACTTCAAGTCTGTAAAAAAATATTAGAGAGGAACTGATGTTAGCTAGTTTTGTCCTTTCATTTGCCCTCTAAGATGACTAAACTCAGTTTCTAGGAAATAACAAGATGCAAATTTGAAAATTACAACATTTCACATTTAGCTTACTTTTTCCTATAATCTCAAATATACAGAACTGAATTAAGCCTCATCTTTGGTATATAGGGTGACCAACGTTTTTAAAGAGTTATCACAGGACACAACTAACCAGATCTCAAAGAATCAATATAGAAAAAAATATTTATATACATTTTTTACTATTTAACATAAAAATACAAAAATGTGTTTTTTCAGAATTATCTATTAATGTGTGTTCTGCACTTTTCCACTACACAAATGTGATTATTTAAACAAGAGGACTACTTAATAGTGGCAATTAGTAATTAATAGGACTAATTCAACAAATAATGTTTGAGAAAAACCTAACTATTTAGGTTCTGTTTTCTGATACACAATTTAACTTTTAAGCTCTTCATTATATAATAAATATTGCAGGCTTTATTATTGTGTATTATTAAAGTGCATAAATAGAAGACTTTTAAAAAGATTATAAATATAGTAAGACTAAACAGGTATTATCTGTATTTAACTTAAAAAAATTACTTTCCTTTTTATTCCACGATCTGATGAAGATATTTTTACTTTTTATGTTTCCTTTTTTAACAATACTTCTCTAATCTGCCTGCAGACTTTAGGACTTTTTTTTTTTTTTTTTTTTTTTTTTTTCTTAAACCAGGGTGTATAACTGAATACAACCAAATACAAAATTCACCTTGACGTTTACCTCTGTTCTTAAGCCTACATCACACTTATTTCCCTTATCAGTCCAATGTGATGACATCAAGTTAAATAAATACCCTTTCGGGGTGCCTGGGTGGCTCAGTTGGTTAAGCGGCCGATTTCGGCTCAGGTCATGATCTCGTGGTCCGTGAGTTCGAGCCCCGCGTCGGGCTCTATGCTGACAGCTCAGAGCCTGGAGCCTGTTTCAGACTCTGTGTCTCCCTCTCTCTGACCCTCCCCTGTTCATGTTCTGTCTCTCTCTGTCTCAAAAATAAACGTTAAAAAAAATTTTTTTTTAATAAATAAATAAATATCCTTTCAATAAAACCATTTTGGCACAGAATACTAAGACTTTCCTTACTAAAAGCAGTAGCAGGTTTTTAGACCTATAGGCCCAGTGTATCTAAGAATTTACCATATAGACTTTATGTCTAAAATGCCCATTTTAAACACTTCAAAGCATAATGCATGTCATTAAAAGTTAAACTTCTCTTCCTCAAGAAAAATGGTTTTAAAACACACAGATCATTTAAACTTGTGAGAGTGAAGGTGAATTCCAAACAAATTATAGTTTTAGTAAAGACACAGAAAATCCTATTAAAGCTGGCTGTCCCTTTCTGGTGATATTTTTTGAGTCCTCAATAGTCTCATCTCAAACAAACAAAAACATTAGCCATTTTGTTCACTGAGTTTTTCTATAACCCACACAAAAACAACTTAGGTCAAACCATCCTTCTCCAGGTTCCTCTTAGCCTCTTCAAAGATCATTCAACAGTTCTGGAGAAAAAGGCATATAAATTTCTGTTTACCAAAAAAATAAATAAATAAAAATAAAAATATTTGTTTACCATAATTCTTTGCACCATATTTATTTTTTATGTATTTTCAAATTAGAAGACATTATTCTTCTCCCATTCTTTGAAAACATGATTTTACTGCTATCAATATTTTAGCATTTTTCTATGGCTGGCAACGATAGCCATAGCCATGTTGAAGCAAATGTCTAAAATGCTTATTTTCTGACACTTTTATAATGTCAAAAATCTCATTAAGTGTTTATGAATGTTTTGAAGAAACTAAAAATTGACCAAAAAACTTTTATGAAAACCTCGGTATCACAGGTAAGCAAATGGTACCCCATTTTAGCAGTACTGTATAGAAGGAATACATATTTAGCAGGTAAGATCTTTTCATTTTCTTTGGTAAGAAGTTTATAGACTGAAAGAAATTTGTCAAAATTTACATTTGCACTGTCTGATAAATATGTATTTATATAAAAGCAAAGTTTCTTTTATGTTTTCTGCAATTTATTAAAATGTTAAACATCAAGATTATCTAAAACTCCCCATTTCTTCACATCAAAGAACCTAGTAGCTATGGGAAATATACCCTTCTTTCCACAATTTGATGTAACACAATACACTACCAAAAGCATGACTGCTGGTTAAGAACTGCCAGAATAAGTTCTAAACTTGAAAGGGCCAAAACACGTTATCAAAACTTTCTCTCTTGTTTACCCACAGGATATTTCAGCTGAAACTTCTGAATCATGAAATGTAACACTATTCAGTTTAAAAGTAACTCTACTTTTACAAAGCAAGCAAGGGACAGATAGGCTAATGTGTGTTCATTTGTACACTGTGCCCAAGCTAATTCACTTAATACTCACTAGTTTTAACAGATCACTGGGGTCTTTTGGGGAGATGGAAAAAAACAAAAAACAAAAGCAAAAACTTTTTATTAATTTAAAATTATTTGCAATATTCAGTTTCAATATTTGCTTTTATATCCCCTTCTCCACCAAGACCAATCTCAAAACATTTTTTATACATCATGTAGTATGCTTTATTTTGGTTACTCTCCCTAATCCAGGTATAAGGCTCCTTCTCTTTGTCATTAAAACGACATAGTCATTTAGTCTTCTTTTCTGGCACTGTCTAGGTCATGCTGATGTTGGTACTGTAATTATCCTCATTTTCATGTCTCAACTTCTAGAAAACATGGTTTTAATATTCATAATGTTAAAAATTAAAAAGTCCTGGGACACCTGGGTGGCTCAGTTGGTTAAGCATCCGACTTCGGCTCAAGTCATGATTTCACGTCGGGCTCTGTGCTGACAGCTCAGAGCCTAGAGCCTGCTTCGGATTCTGTGTCTCCCTCTCTCTCTGCCCCTCCCCTGCTCATGCTCTGTCTCTCTCTGTCTCTCAATAATAAATAAACATTCAAGAAATTTAAAAATTAAAAAGTCCTATCACAATACAAAACACATGACAGGAAAAGTAAAAGACAGACTATGAATATCCAGGATAACAAATCACTTAAATTGTAGATGCAGTATAGACAATAGAGTCCATTACTGTGAAGAGCAAATAATGGCTGCCAATATTATAAGCTAAGGAAAAAAGACAACGATGACTGTGAATAATCCACACCATAGTCATTTGACACTAACATGTTGCCTTCAGCCCTGAATTTCTGGCATCACATTGAGGTTTTGAATTTTTGTCAATCTTCTCCATCCAATGCTAAAATGTGGGACTTGCTGTGTCCTGGGGAAAGGTTTCCCAAGACTCAGGAGGTCTTTCAATGCTTTAAAAAGAGATGACCTTCAAAGAGTAACAATTAAACTCATAGTTGATTTCTCAGTAGAAACATAAAAGCCAGAAAACAATGAAATGCTATCTTTAAAATGCTGAAAGAAATTAGCTTAAATCATTACTAATTTTTTATTTATCCAGTATTAACTATAATCCCCACACTGGACTACATAAAAAAGAAATGACTACAACCTACTTTAAAAACTAACATAGAAAGACTTTGATATAGACCTTAAAGCTGTGTTTTTAAATAGAAACTCTTGAATGTGTGCAATAAGAAAACATGAACAGCAATATTCAGAGCAAAAGTATGAGAGAAAAGAAATGGAAAACAAACCAAATTGCTCATAAATATTACTGAAGGTAAATAAAGTCTTGTATATGTGTATGATAAACTACTTCAGTGAAAATGAACTATACTTGCATGAATCAAAATGTATAAATATCAATAAAATAATGAGAATAAAACAATGCATATAGTATCAGACCATTTATATAAAGGCCAGAAACAAAGCTAAGGGGGCACCTGGGTGGCTCAGTCGGTTAAATGTTCGACTCTGACTCCTCTTGATTTCAGCTCAGACCGTGATCTCGTGGTTTGTCCATCGAGCTCTGCATTGGGTTCTGAGCTGACAGCAGGGAGTCTCTCTCCCCCTTTCTCTCCTCGCCCCTCCCCTGCTCACGCTCTCGCTCTCTCTCGCTCTCTCTCTCAAAAGAAAGAAAGAAAGAAAGAAAGAAAGAAAGAAAGAAAGGAAGGAAGGAAGGAAGGAAGGAAGGAAGGAAGGAAGCAGTGTATAAGCAATGTGTGCTTTAGAACACACATGTATATTAAAATGGTAGGGAAAAGCAAGTGAATAATTACAAGAAACTGATTTCATCAGGAATTAAAGAAACCGGTAAACATGATAGGTGAAGACAGGTGAAGAATATATTAAGGATCTTCAAAAGCATAGTAAATGTTTTATTTCTTCAGCTAAATGGGGTGTATAAAGGTGTCTGTTATAGTATTATTCTTTAAAATGTGCACTCTGTTCTGTATATTTCATAAGGCAAAAATATAAGCAAATGGACAAATGAGCAGGTTTCAAACAAAATTCACACTTAAATTCAAATCCAACTTTTGTGCTACTTAAGTATAAATTAAAAGGTATTATAGCATAGCCATTACAAGTACTGGAGTGTGAGAAATCTCAAGGATTGCTGTGTCCATATTAATGAGGGATATTGGTCGATAGTCTCCTGAGTGAGGTCTTTGTCTGGCTTTGTTATCAGAATGACAGTTTGGCAATCTGTGTCTTTGAAAGCATTTGCCCATGTCACCTAAGGTGTCTAGTTTGTTGTGATAAAGTTGTTTATAATATTTGCTTATGGTCTTTTTGATTTCTATATGGTTGGTAATGATGCCTCATGATTTTGGTATCTGTGACTTTCTTTCTTGGCCAATCCTGCTAAAGTTTTTCAATTTTATTTCTCTTTCAAAGAAACACTTCTTGGTTTTATTGTTTTCATTACTGTTTTTCTGTTTTTCATTTCACTCATGTCTATTTTGATCTTTACTGCTTCCTTCCTTCAGTTTACCTTGAATTTATTTTGCTTTTCTTCTTCTGGTTTAAGGTGAAAATATAAATTGTCATTTTGAGATCTTTCTTCTTTCTAACTAGGCATTTAAAGCTACAAATTTCCCTCTAAGCACTGCTGTAACTGCATCCCATAAATTGTGATACACTGTGTTCTCATTTTCATTCAATTCAAAATACCTTCTAATTTCCTTCTGATTTCCTTATGACTTAGAGACTACTTAGAAATGTGTTAATTTTTAAATATTTATAATTTCTCAAAATTCCTTTGTTAATTTCTAATTAATTGTACTACGATAAACAGACATTCTTTCTATGGTTTCAATACATTTTTTAATGTTTCTTTACTTATTTTTGAGAGAGAGAGAGCGCGCACAAGCAGGGAAGGGGCAGACAGGGAGGGAAGAAGAGAACCCAAGCAGGCTCTGCGCTGTTACTACAGAGGCTGACATGAGGCTCAATTCCCCAAACAGTGAGGTCATTACCTGAGTCAAAATCAAGAGCCAGGCACTCAATCAAGTGAGCTCCCCAGGTGCCCCTAATTTCAATCCTTTTAAATTCAGAGTTGTTTTATGGCCTAGTAAAAAGTCTGTCTACCCTAGACAATGTTTCACAAGAGCTTGAAAATAGTGTGTATTCTGCTGTTGTTAGTGCAAGTATTCTACAGATGTGTTAGATCTAATTGGTTTACAGTGTTCTTCGATTCTTGTATAATTTTGGCCATTTTTTTCCCATTTGGTCATTTTCTTTCTAATCATTCTGTCAATTATCGAGTGGGTATTGAAGTCTTCAACTATTACTGTTAAATTGTCTATTTCTCCCTTCAATTCTATCAGGTTTTGTTCTATGTGTCTGTGGAGGTTTTGCTGTTGTGTTTATAATTATTTTATCATTTTGATCAACTGACCCTTTTAGCATTATAAAATGTTCCTCTTTTCTCTAATAACAAATTTCGTCTTAAAACCTATTGTCTAATATTAGTATAGCCGCTCCAGCTCTGTTTTGGTTACTGCTTGCATGGTTTATCTTTTTCCATTCTTTTACTTTCAATCTTTTGTGTCCTTGAATCTAGAGTGTGTGCCCTTGAATCTTGATTCTATCATTAGTATTTGCGTGACCTTGGCAAAGTTAATTCAATTTTCTAAACATGAGTTTCTTTACCTATAAAACGAAGATAATAATATACAATAAGACTGTTATCAGATTTAAATGAGACACTGTTTCCAAGCAGCAGTGCCTAGTATAAGTAATGAATATTCATTTATATTACAAAAATTATTACTAAACATGCTACCAAAGAAGTTAAGAAAACAGTAACAAAAATATATCCCCACCTTTTCTGATAAATACTGTTCATATATTCCAACAGCAGCTGCTCTTAGAAGACCTTTGGTTTGGTTAGTTTGATGTTTTCCATCCTTCTGACGACTTAATAAAACTTCTAGTTGCTGTTGGGCTGTAACTCGGTATCCTTCCACTGTCATCCAGAAGAAGAGGTGTGCTTGACCTCCAGTTTGCTGCATGTAATCTAACAAACAAAATCCATAACAATGTAGTTATTCATGTCACATGTTTTTGGGTGCATGTAACCATATGACAAGTTAAGAAGGATTAAAGTTTCAAATACTTAAAACCCTATATTTTCAAACTGTTAGGCAAATGCTTGAGGTAAAGAATACTTACATCACAAATTGTTAAGCTAAAAAGACCACAGTTATGTAAAAAGCACAAACTGAAGCATATTTTTTTTTTTAATTTCATTTTTCATGATAAAATTTCTAGGGGATATAATTGCACAGAAGGCTTCATCAGAAATAAATTATTTCAATATTCGGCTTCTGTTCTCAATAAAGATTATTAATAATATTAATATTTCCACAAATTTAAAAAATAAGGATTAGTATCTTCAACAAGCCATGTATTTATGTTTTTGGTCATGAAAATGAAGAATCAGGGAAGTTTAATGAAAATGTCCTCCAGATAAAAGCAATTTTGATGTATAGTTGACCCCTGAACAATGCAGAGGTTAGGGGCACTGACTCACCATGCAGTCAAAAATCCATGTGTAACTTTAGACTCCCCCCAAACCATAACTACTAGTAGTCCACTCTTGACTGGAAGCCTTACCATTAATATAAACAGTTAATTAACACATATAACATTTTGTATGTTAAATTTATCATATGCTATATTCTTACTATAAAGTAAACTAGAGAAGGAAATATTACAAGTCATTAGAAAAACACATTTGTATTACTGTACTCTATTTATTGGATAAAATCCAAGTAAAGTGAATCTGCAGAGCTCAAATTTGTGTTGTTCAAGGATCAACTATATTATCAAAATTACTAAATATTTATATTTATTAAAATGATATAAAAAACCCCTTTCCCATTCATGCACTGAAAGATACAAATAACTTATAAGCACTGTGTACTGCTGATAAAGTACTCTTTCCCAAACAATTTAGGGGCACCTGGGTGGCTTAGTCAGTTAAGTGTCCAACGCCTGATTTCAGGTCAGGTCATGATCTTAACAGTTCATGAGCTCGAGCCCCATGTCGGGCTCTGTGTTGACTGTGCAGAACTTGCTTGGGATTTTCTCTCTCCCTCTCCTGCTCACTCTCTTTCTTTCTCAAAATAAATTAATTAACTTAAATTCATAGTAGAATCTCCTAGAGTTTATTTTTAAACACCACTGATTGTTTCTTTTAAGTAGGCTGCACACTCAGCATGGAGCCCATGTGAGACTTGAACTCATGACCCTGAGATCAAGACCTGAGCTGAGATCGAGAGTCGGATGCTCACCCAAATGAGCTACCCGGGCGCCCCTCCTAGGGTTTATTTTAAAAGCAATTTAACAAACACACATTTAAGTTATGCAAAGCATTTCGTTCCTTCAAAACAAAATAAATCTCCACCTCGATGATTTCCAAAGAAAAGGACTATTTCAGAAAATGAAGAGTGGAGGAAAGACATAACTGGCATGCTTAATTTCAGATATTTAAATTTTAGTAATCTTTACAATTATTAAAACTTTCAAGGGGTGGGGCACCCGGGTGGCTCAATCAGTAAAGTGTTTGACTCTTGATTTTAGCTCAGGTCATGATCTCACAGTTCGTGGGTTAGAGTCCCACACTGGGGTCCATGCTGACAGTGTGGAGCCTGCTTAGGATTCTCTCTCTCTTCCTCTCTCTCCCTGCCCCTCCCCCACTCATGCTCGCTCTCACTCTCAAAATAAAAAATAAACTTAACTAAAAATCTCAAGGGCTTTTATTATTTTCGTAAGATGGATTTACCTACCCATAAAAAACTGTAGTGCAACATTGTCTACAAGAATGCTGTCCAAAGGGACTGTGCAAAGTTTCCCAAAGTTTGCTGCCAGTTTCACAGTATTTATTTCCTACAAATAAAAGTAAATATAAGTTAATATTTTATCTATTCACTCACTAGGTTAAAGATCATTACATAGATATAAAAACATTACACTAAAATGGAATAAAGTGTTTTTTCCTTCTCATTCATTTAGGTTCTCAAAACAGTATAAGCCTGGAGAATTTCCTAGTTATTTTAAGTTGCTTAGTGAATATGCATTAAAAGTATGATAAGCATCCATTTCTTTCAATACAAAATAATTCTAAATTATTGGAATTTCAAATATTCTCGATCTCTACACATATTTCAAATGAAAACAAATATTTTAGGGGCTAAAGGGATGTATGGAATACCCACGACGTGCAATAATAAATAAATACCAACATTCTCAAGTATAGACTGAGGTCTATCCAATGAGAAAACAGAAAATATTCAGAGTCATTTTGCTTCTCACAGAGCAAAAACTCTACAGTCTTTATATAAAATGTTCTTCTCACACTACCTAAATAGTAAATTATATTCATTTTTCAAAGTAACACAGTAAGATAACTACCTACACACAGAAAAAAAATGAAAAATAAAAAAATAAACATAGGTTCAAAATTTAGAGAATCTATATGTCAAGCACAGTGCTAGGTACATTATACACATTACTTTATTATCCACAACAATCCTATTGGATAAATATTGCCAATCCTACTTACTGGAGAAGAAAGCTTAAGATCAGAAAGGCTGCCTATGATCACAGAGCTGGCAAGAAAGACTGTTTTCAAAGCCTACAGCTTTTCCCATAAAATCCATGATGTTTCAGTGAAGTATCAGTTTGTCTGTATTCCTAAATCCATCCCTCATAACCATCTTTTTAAAAAAGAAAGACAGTAAGGTTTTTCTGAAAGTTAGGCTGCCTTAAGTAGGGGTGGATATTAAATTAGATATAGGTAGTACATAAAGGAGAAAGAAGATAACTTGAAAAAAGGAGGGAAAATGTCCTCTGTATTTAGTATCTCCCTTCATATAAACAAACTCAAAATGGATGAAAGACCTAAATGTAAGATAGGAAGCCATCAAAATCCTCAAGGAGAAAGCAGGCAAAAACCTCTTTGATCTTGGCCACAGCAACTTCTTAATCAACATGGCTCCAGAGGCAAGGGAAACAAAAGCAAAAATGAACTACTGGAACCTCATCAAAATAAAAAGCTTCTGCACAGCAAAAGAAACAATCAGCAACACTAAAAGGCAACCGACAGAATGGGAGAAGACATTTGCAAAAGACATATCAGATAAAAGGTTAGTATCCAAAATATATAAAGAACTTATCAAACT